TGAGTTGTTCTTCCACTCCAGGATGGCGTGGATCATGGGAATACCAAAAGCCAATGTCTTCCCACTTCCTGTAATAACAGTGCTCACATCAGCCTCACGTATGGAAATATGACGACTAACTATTATGGGACAAAAACAAAAAGGGATTTTATCTTACCTGTCTCGGCTGCCCCCAGTACATCCATACGATCCCTGATCGCTGGAGGCAAAGCCAGGGCTTGTATCGGGCTCGGTGAGCTAAATCCAAGACTGCTCAGTGCTTTCAACACAGGGGAGGGAACAAACAGGTTCTTCCATGCACTCACATCAGCATTTTTATCCTCAGAGCCAGAAAGTGCTGCATTTGTCCAATTCTTTATCTGCTTTTTACTTTTGGGGGCCTTTGTCACTTTATCCTGGGTGGATTTTTCGTCTTCCAGAGGCTGACTTTCTGATGGAGCCTCCTGGTTTGGCTGTGTCTCTGGGACTTTATCATTTTCTATCTGCTGCTTCTGTTTCTTGTTCTTCTTTTTGTTGCTCTTCTTTGTGAGTTTTGTTTGGGCATCAGCTTCTACACTAACAGCTGTGTCTTCTGAAGCATCTTTGGGTGTTTCAGTTTCTCCTCCCTCCTCACCTGCAGCTACATCCACCTGTGTCACCTCTACAGAAGTGTCCTCTGACTGGACTGACTCCTTTGCAGCCAGCTTCTTATTTTTCTTCTTCTTCTTGGGTTTTTTCTTGGCAGGTTCAGCTGGAGTCTCTTCCTCTTTGCCCTCCACATCTACCTTCTCTCCAGCCTCCTCTCCCTCGCTGGCTTTTCTTTTCTTTGCTTTCTTCTTCTCCTGCTTTTTCAGTTGCTTTGCTGCTTTAGCTGCAGCCTTCTCGGAGTCTATCATACGGTAATTTGTCAGCTCTTCAAAACACACCAGCCCCTCCATGCCCTCATCGGAGAACAGACTGGGGTCGAGCTCTATAGCTTTCCATTTGCCTTTCACATGGATGCTGCGTTTGGCTTGTTTCTTCAGTCCCGAGGACAGACGCTTGTTTCCGGGCTTCATCCTCTTGGTCTTCATTTTCCTACAGATAAAAACCGAGTTAGGCTAAAGAGGGTTGTTAAAGCATGTGTGAAGTTAGCCAGCAGCTAAGTTGGTGCTGAGCCACTCCAGCTAACATTATATATTAAATGCTAATAAAAATGCCAGACCCACTTAGTAAACAATAAACAACAACACTGTGAGTATAAACAATGAGGATAAAGTCCTACCTTGACTGTCTGTGGTTTTCTAAAGTGTCTAAATGGTGTTACGGATGGTGACAGTCACGCATTACACGAGGGCGCCGCCATGACAGTTTTGATCACGTGGTTTGAAAAACTTTATTAGTCGAACAGCTGGTACAGGGATTCTTCCCTGCAGTATGGGGTCCATATTAATTATGTTATTTATTCTTTACTGGGAGTAATAAGTCCCTCCTGGATTTATCCAACAACTGTGTTTCTTAACAAAAGGTTTAAATTACATGAAAATGAAGAAAACTTAGAGCACACGTTTTTTCTATGCCATGTGTCCCAAAAAATGTTGGTCTAACATAAAAAAAATCTCTCACATCCTTTTATTTATGGATAATCTGGATTCACCTATCTCTGGCATAATATATATAATTTTACTTATGGGTAAATACCACATTCATTGTAGTAAATGGAGAAATACCAAGAAATCCTTAAACTGGTTTATAAATGACTTTAAACTGTTTTTCTAGTAACTGGGAAAAAAATTATCTCTAGCAGGACAGCGAGAAAGTAAAGTGTTGATTTTTCTAAATTTTTGTTGTTTTGAATTATGACCCTTGTGCTGGATCCTGATGATGCTTATTGCTAGTCTTTGACAAATTTGATATGCCTGTTTTTTTCCTTCTTTTCTTCATCTTGTCAACTAATTTTTATCATTCTTATTTTTATTTATTTAAATCTTCCCATTGTCTATTTTATTTAGTTTTATTAATTTTACACACATCCTCTATGAGATGTTGTATGTTTAAGCTTTTGTTTGTTCTTCTGATGTTCAAAAAAATAAATATAAAAAAAACATATCACCTCCTGGTACAGTATGTTAAGTCAAACCCTGTCATATTAACAAAACAATCACAATGTTTAAAAATAATTTATTTGAAAATAATCAGTTGCCTCTTATGTGGTGATCATCTTAATAAAACTGGATATTGATATCAATCAGAGAAAGTAACATTAATGTTTTCAGACTTTTTTTTAATATGAGTGTATTTTAGCTGACACACATGTAATTAATAATCCTCTGCCAAAACATTTTTAGCATCAAACACTTAATTTCCTACATTCTGGTTATTTTTATGTACAAATCCCTGCCTTCTCTGCATCATTTTATTGTGTAAATGTCTTTAATTTTGTCAGAATAAGTCCTCTGATACATTCATGTTTTTCAGGAGGGGGCAAATGCACATCCTAAACATTGAAGGGGATATGTCCCCTGCATACTCCCTGAAATCTACACCTATGAATGTTATTAAGTCATAGAAAAGGATCGTGTTTCACATTTTCTAATAAGCTATCAGCAAAGGTTTGTAGGTCATCTGCATACAGTAAATGCAAATTAAAAAAATGGTTAATAGTTTTTACAATGACCCGTCAAGTCCCAGGTCTGTAATGTTAATACATGTCTAACGGTTGTTTTCCTCATGTGGTGCAGAATCATAGGTCACAAAGCCAAATTGACTTTGAGCTCACATGTATATACCCAACATTGCTCTCATTCAGTGTGCGTTTTACACACATCTTAATTCGAGAGTTGAAATTATTTGATTTAATCCAAAGAAAGGCACACTGATGTTAATTCTTTATTAAAAGGGGTCAAGTGTATATGTAGGCTTACACAACAGACCAGCACAAGCATTTTATATATAAGATTGAAAAATGCTTCAAAATAGCCTTTCACATGCCTAAATAAACACAATGACACACACAAGCAGTTGAGGACTCAAGCAGCAGAGTCATGACTGCTAGTTTTTGGTGGGGTCAATCACCCTGCCCATAAACAGCAGACAGTTTGTGTATTCGTGGTATATGAAGAAGAAAAATGGCCTGTTGACGATGAAGGTCCTGGGTAAGGAATATGGAATAATGCCTGTTGTTGTGGCGGCTGCTGCAGTGGTCCCTGACTCATCCACCTCAATCACAGCCTTGTGCCGCACCTGTGATTTTACAGTAGAGATGAAAAAAAAAAAAAAAATTCATACTCCGCAGAGTTTGGAATAAATAAGCATGCATCATGGTGAAAGTGCAAACTAACCTCTGACACTTTGAGGCTTTCTTCCTCACTCAGCTTCGTCAGATTGGCTGAATTACTGAAGACACTGGCCATGCCCATGTCTGGCAGAAGATTGTGCAGGGCATACGACTCCTCCATCTTGAATTTGGGCAAGTTGACTTCCAGTTTGCTGTGAACACGAAGACACAGCTGGCCATGTTGAGAAGACTCACTTATCTGTTGCTGTTTGTATTTGATAGTGTATTTACACGGAGAAAATGTCACAAGGTGCTTTGCAATAGTAGCTAAAAAATACAACAGAATACAGATGATAAAGAAAGACGAACCATGTGTAAAATATTTCTTTCCACTTACGTTTTTTGCAGCCTTCTGATCCAGCTGAAGAACTTCTTAGCAGTGATCCCATCATCAATTACAGTGTAGTCCATGCCTTTGTTGGGGAGCAGAATAAGCATGGAAACACCTTCCCGGTATGGTAGCTTCAGCACTTTGGCGCCAAGAGCAGAATCTTCCATCATGTAGAACTTATCCTCCAAAAACATCATCGGCACTTGGACAATATTGTAGTTGTCGATGTAGAAAGGAGCACTCATAGTGAGATTGGGGTTGAAATGCTTCTGCCAGGTTCCTGTGAAGGAAATTATACTGTTAATTTAATTGTGAACACTAAAGGTCAAAGGTCAAAACACAAATGAGAGTTGAAGCATGGCTATTAACGATCCAAGATGAAGTTCTAAACTTACCTTGAAAGAAAATTGTATTGATTAGCATCAGCTGTGTCCGTACATCCAGGCTGGAAATCACCTCTGTCACTTTACCCTCAGTCTTGTTCTTGATATACTCATTAATGAAGCTTCTACTCCCTTTTGTGTCCGTAAAGTCTACAGTTTTGATGTCAGTGTCAAAATATCTCTTGATTTGCTCTTGAAACTTCTCCTCCAACACAAACTCCTGGCCCACAAACATGCCCATGCCTTGGTCCAGTCTCAGGGTTCCATTCTGTGTGATATTCTCATGAAGGAGCTGAAAGAGTCTTGGGATAAGCTCTGGCTGGTCAGCCCGCTCCAGCTGCTCCAGGTTGAGTCCCTTCAGTATTTCCTCATGCGTGACCCCATCAGCAGCCATTAAGAGTACAGCAAAGCTGGTAGAGATGCTCAGCGGTGAGAAAAAGATGTTCTGGTCATTGTAGCCGGATATTTTTCTGTATAGGTTCATGGCAAAGTCCATGTTTTTGAAGGAAAGATCTGAAATGGTGGCGCTTAGAAGGTGCGCTTGGTGGGCAGGAGCAAAGAAGCATAGTAAGGTTACAATGGAAAGCAATCCCATCTTCATTTTGTTTGCCAGCATTCTTTGAGATGTTTGGCTGCGCAACCTGAAAAACGAAGACATGTACAAGTTAAAGCTCGTAAATAACTTTTTTCCATTTACATAAACACTTTAATGTATTCAGTTTTGAAATACAATAGATAGTTGTAACCAACTTATTTCATCCAACATAAACTGTCATACGTACCATTCAGCTTGTGCAAGATCTGAAAACTCCATCTATTATTTGGGGAAACAAAGTGCAAGTGTGCTCAAAGCGTTACATATTAACCACGACACACTGCCTGTTGAGTTGTCCCCAAGTGAGTCAGAGCTGTTTTTCCAAACATTTAGAGCCTCCTTTCCAGAGGTGATGTAACAAGAACCAATAAAAAACTGAGACACGAGAAACTTCAGGAGGAGTGAATGTCACTTTAATCCTGGAACAAGAACTAATACATTAACTCAGTCGTTCCTAAGAACCTTTTCTGGAGTACCCCTTGTTCTGAATACCTAAGATCTCTCACTGCTCCAACTGATTCCTGATTTTAATGGTCAGATTGCTGTCGAGCAGCTTCAGGAGGTCATAACGAGTTGATAATTTGAATCAGCTGTGTTGGAGCAGTGAGGTCTAAAACATACAGGGCATGGGGTGCTCCAGGAGAGGTTTGGGAATCTCTGTATTACAGATCTGGTGTGTAGGATTTAGGGGGATATATTGGCAGAAATGGCATAAGTATGTTATCTTTAGTGTGTAATCACCTGAAAACAAGAATCACTGTGTTTTTGCTACCTTAGAATGAGCCATTTATATCTACATAGAGAAGGGATCCTCATCTACAAAGATTGCCAGGTTGCAAAGTCATGTTTCTATGGTAGCCCCGAATGGACAACCAAACCCTGCCTCTACATAGGTCCATTTGCATTTTCGCGTTAGGCACCGTAGATAGCAGCCCCTCCACAACAAGAGCCTCGTAAAAATGCTGATTTTTTAATGTCTACTGGGTCTGTTTGTTTTGGGGAGGAGGAGACCTCTGTGGATAATTCAGCTCCTGGTAAAAAACCTCCTCAACAAGATGTCACTTAATCCCCCTAAATCTTAAACACTGTTGCTTTAAAATAAAGAATGTTCTATGGTAACATGAAAAAAGAGTACTCATTGTAAGAATGTGGTGAGTGAAAATAATGCAAATGATAAAAACCCAACTACCAACATTTTATACTCTTTTGCAAGTGCATTTTAAATAGAAAAAAAGCCTAACAGATCCAAAGGAAATGAAAACAATAAAGGAATTTTCTTGGAAATCATCCAGCACAAGAAGTCAAGCTTTGCATGACATCCAACACTTTTGAGGAGGCATCAACATATATCCATGCTGAACAGTCATTGGTTCCAGAAAACATAACAACTGTAAACAAACTTAACGGTTTTAATGCTGTGATGTGGTCTATTCATCAACATTGTGTGTTGCAGCGTGATTTTGGTTTTCAGGACTGAACAGAGGGTTGTAGGGGGAAAAAAATTTCAACAAGAGATTTAAACAAACAAAAACCAGCAACAGCATACTCTTCAAAGTAAATGCACGGTGACACATTTTTTGATGCTTTGTTTCAGTCTTGGGGTTTTTAAATCATACAAATTACGAGGTTAAGTAGATGTTGCCCTTCATTCTCACTGTTTTACTGTTTATTCCATAGGTTGTCAATAAGCAAACGGCTTCCATAGCTGTGAACCATGAAAACCTCAGTGCAAATTAAATAATATTTGTACAACTAATGTGTACAACATCGTTTTCAGGATCATGGGAATACAGGATAAGTCAAATCTGTGTGATTAAAAAAAAGAATTTGAGGGTAAAACTGTTTGTGAAGGTACGTCAAAGGAAGAATCATCATTTTAACAATGTTTTCTTTATATTGAATTCCCTACATAGATCATGACAAATACTGATGAGGAGAAACAACAGATAAAGTCACATCCTAGGTAGGCAGGTTGGACATATCAGATTTTTTTTTGGTATTAAGTGCTCATACTGTACTGGAAAAATGAACTATGTATTTATCTATCAGCTGCAGTTTCATGGTGTCTTTGTTCCCCTTTACATGTCAACTTACTCTGGACAAGATATGAAAAATATGCATCAGTCAAAAGCATCTTAGCTTCAGCAAATAGCTCTATAGAATGATTTTGTTCAGTCCAACCAAAATGGACAAAACACTCTTAAATTAACTGTTTGTGAGCTGTGTATCTTACATTTCATTATGCCTACACTTAAAGGTAATAACAAAGCCACAACATCACAAATATGCTGTTGTCTAAATACTTTGGGAGTTCACTCCTAGACGTCTGCAAGAAAAATGAGCGATGAGGTCGAGAATAAATGACCTACACGTTAGTGCTGCTGGCTAAAAGATATTTCAGTACTACACTGGTGTTCTGGTGGGGCGAGTGTGAGAGCCCCCTTATGTCCTACAAATTCAAATTCAATGTAAAGGTACTGGGCTCTGTCATTATCTATTAAACTTGTATCTGTAGTCTTAACATTGGTCTCCTATGGCTTTCACAGAACACCCATCTCTGCATGTATTCACCTCCAAACAAGTAAACACACCTTTTGTATGCTGAGGATTCCTTTCTATCTCTTCCAGAGAAAAAAAAAATGAGAATAAAAAAAAAAACAGTATACAATAGAAATAGAAGGCGCCATGGTAAAAAGGCAATTGCAAACTTGGATTAACTGCATCATGAGTTCTGTGGTCACCCTTTTCCCAGCGTCAGTGTCTCACTGAGTTAGATTGGACTAACTGCTGCCTTTTCTTTGTCGTTGTTCTCTTCTCTATAGCCTGTCAGCGAACTAACCAGGGGAAACATGTCAGCCTTCTGACGGTCCTTATGTTCGCATGTGCAAAAGGTTAGAGGAAGGAGCAAAGCTACCCCTGTGTGGGGTTGCCAATCCAGGCAGCTGGTAAACAACATAGGCAAACCTCGCACATCTTCACTGGCCGGGCTTTTGTTGTTGGTCCTCTTCAGCGCCAGTGTTTACTGAGCCTAGAGGAGGGGAGAGGGCTTAGGTTAGTAATATATCACATCTTTTCTTGGATAGGCTTTTTGATAAAACTCATTACATAATCTGCACTGGATTTATGTTTAAATCAGATGTACTTACCTAAGCCACCTGTTGATTTTGTGTCAGGTTGCTGAGGAATGTTCGGCTGAGCTTGTTGCTGCTGCCTAAGAAGTCAGCAGAGAGAGTGTGTAACAAAATCCACAGATTCATTTACACTTATAGGGGGTGGACGCAACATCATGAATACTTCAGTCGGCTATAAGCATAAATTAAATACAACAACGAACATTGCGGCTTCAAAAATACGGACCTTATTTGTAGTGTTTACAGATTAAATGATCCCTGCCTTGTTGTGGGCACGTTCCCTTTACTTCTTAGAGCATCCCTTACAGGCTGTTACTCTTTAACCGGGTTAATTCACTCCTGTATGAGGCGCTCTAAGAAGTGAAACGAATGTGCCCGCAACAAAGCAGGGATCATTTAATTGATCAACGCTACACCTGGCATTCTATTGGTTGGGGAATTCTAACAGGGTTATTGCACAAAAACATCTGAGAGCAGATGTTTCAAAGGCTCAGAGAAGCAGCCTGAGTGCAAGGAGATGTGCTGAGGCTGGAGCGCTGAAAATCTGTGCAAGCAACAACATATCTGAGTGCAATCATACAGTTTGAGCAGAAGCAGAAGCAGAGCCAATCCAAGTCAAGCAGGGGCTGTTTGAGTGCAAGACAGAGAGCATTACAAAATCTGAAAGTGAAATCAATGAGTCATTCTGTCAAAATGAAAAACCACGCTTTCAAATAATAAAATTGACAAAGCAGTGCTTACTGCAGGACTAACGAATTCAAATAAGTGTTGTCAATATTGTGTCGACCCCCTGTACAATAGTCACCAGGCATGAGTTAAACCTACCGATCAAAATAGGCTTGTCTCCTCTTCCGCAGTTCCTCAGCTGTGAGCGCCTCATTCTGGCCTTCTTTTTGTCCTCCTGCAGTGCTCCCTCCTGCCTGGCTCCCTGATTTCACATTTCCCATTTCAGACTCTGAAGACTTGTTGCTCATCACTGCTCCTGTAGTATTAGAAAAACAAGGACCAAATTTTCAGTATTGGCATTTGTAAAATACAGAACAAAACAATGTTGTCAGGGTGAACCTGGAACACAACTTTAAAAATGAGACTCAAAACTAACTGACGCATATGGTGATCAATTAGTAAAGCCTAATTTATACTACAGTATACAAAGAACTGTAAGTTTATGAAATCAACTGCCCAATCGGACAAAGAAACCAAATATTTTAAAACCTTTGGAAACTCTTCCTTTACCTTGCATGCTAAGCTGTATGGCCCTGCGTAGATCAGCTTCTTCATCCTCCACATCGATGTCCTGTCGGCTGAGGGCCAGAGCTCTCTTCAGCTCATCATCTTCATCCACAACCTCATCCTCCACACCAAAGGCCATCTCTGCCTGGTTCAGAGCTGCTGACCTGCTGCTCACAGTAGAAGAATGAATCGGTTACCACAAGTGAGTAAAAAGCTTCCTTTAAGCAACTTCAAACATAAACTATGATTTGTACTATCTGCACATACAGCGCATACCCTGCACTTGTCTGAGATTCATCCTCTCCAATAAGCCTTGGTCGCTGCTGCTGCTGCACCCTCATGATCCCAAGAATCTGCTCTGCTTCACACTCAGGCAGGTTGCCTCGGATCACAAATATGGAATAACCTGCACAAATTCAACTTTTAGAATCGTGTCTGCATTGCACCAACTAGACAATGAATAAATAACAGTAACGTTCACAATACCTTCTTGTTGTAACTGTGCAAGGAAAAGGGCTAGATAGGTGTCTGATATCAACTCTGGTCCAGTCAACAGTGAATTCAGGTTAAACCACTGAAATAAAAACAAAACAAACAGTGTTTTTTTTTAGTAAATCAAACTGCATTATCATTCTTTATGAAGACAAGTGCCTCATACCTGTTGTCCAAGTTTGCGTATAGTAAACCAGTGCTCCTTGTAGTTGCAAATGAAGGCTTTCTCATTTCTGAAACATGAAATTAGGGATAGCTGTCACCATCAACTTAAACTGTAATGAAGTAATGTGATCACAGATTAAAACCTGAAAAAATACAGTCTTAAAAACTTTACATTGGATTAATCATCAGGCTCTGGTACTCCCGGCTGTTGAAGAGGATTAGCTCCAAGCACCACACTCTCAGTGCATTGCTAATTACCTTTAGGAATTAGACGACAGACAAGAGAATTAACATTACTTATTTATAATGGTTATACTGTTATTAAATAACAATAAAAAGTGAATCTCTTACTTGTATTGAAAAGAACCCGCTGTCATCCATGTTCCCAGATGGTTGCTAGAAACATTTTCACACAACATAAAGTTAGAAACACTTTATGAAGAGTACATTTAATTAAGTTGCTGCACTAGCCTTCACTTTTATGTCTACTCACCTGTAAGAAGGTCCTATACTCCTCACTGGCCATACCCCCCTCGGCCATCCTCATCCTCTCCTCTTCATCGAGCTGCTGAGCAATGGAGGACAGATCCACAGGAGTGAAATACTCACCCTGCAGGAGGTTGTTGAGACAATGTTGGGCGCAGAGAGAGCCCTCTTGCTGCGAGTAAAGGATTAGTTATTGATACCACACCGGTGCAAATTACACTTCTAACATGGCAGCACGATGAAATAGTTTTCGTTACAACTTAGTTAGCTTTATGAACATGTAATTGGCTGAGGTTGACACTAAAATTGTACAGTCATACACGGTATCAGTCATACACCAGTAGAGCTACACACTGCTAGCTTACGTAAACAACAAACACAACTACTCTTAATACTTCTTTATATGACCAGATAGCTATGCTACGCTAGTTCTGAAAGTTGCAAGCAAAAATAATATGTTTTCGGTTGTTAGGAAGCTTTCTGCGTTGTTATTCCTACCTGAAAAGAAACTTTTCATAATCTCTGACTAGCAGGTACAATTAGCATCTTAGCTGCCTGGACAACAATACTGCCAAACACCACCACAAATCTCTCGACACCGGCCAGATAGCGCCGGTAAACAAACCACCGCGAGAAGGTCCGAGGTTTTCCGAATAAACACGTCCAATTACTTAGGGCTTACTGTATTTTGGTAAACGTTTAAACTTACTTTCTCATGAAATATGGAATCCATGTTCAGCTTTCTGTCAAACATTCAACTCTGACCTCTAGCCCCGCTGCATTCATCAGCACGGAAAGGAGCGACGATCGCGACCAGCGCCCTCTGGTGGCGTGGCCCCTACACTGCACCATCTCCATTCAAATCTCCATTGACGAATCTGTTAGTTTAAACCAGCGAGATTAATGAAGTAACTGCCTGTGTGCGACACACACAGCAATGAAACTAACGCTATTTTTCATTAACACACCCATCCACAAAGTGTATTTGTTGGTTATATTGCTGTCTGTAATATAAAACACGTGACAAAATATTTTTTACATATTTTAGATGGACTTAAAGCGTAACCTAATAATCGTCCAAAAAACGAATGAGGATCTGATGGACTGCTTCTCGAGGGCGAGTCTATTTTTTTGTTTACACAATGTTTTTACCAGACACATCACTAACAGAAAATGGGTGCTTTTGTAAACACGTTCCGTAAATTGATCTATAAAATAAGGCTTAACTAGATGCGAATATTTCTGACCACTCTAATTATGGATCAATAACGTCGCAAAAGGTATCGATTACTAATGGAACAGTCTCCTAGTGACACCTCTTCCTTTACGGCAAATGGAACATGGCGGAGGGAGAGAAATCCTTAGACGGGCTGGAGCTCAGCCAGGTACGATTTTAAAACAATTAATATAGCTGTCAGTGGTTACTCATAGCCCAGGACAAGACGATAAAGCATAATGCGTCAGTTCCTATGTAAACAACAGCTCGACGGTGCCGTTAAAGGGCATCTACTTACCAGGTTAGCATGGTTAGCTGCTATGCTAGCTACCTAGTGGTAAATGGTTAAAATGTCCCTGCAGTATTTACCGCGCAGTAACAGTGAGTGTATGTGTATGGTTTTGGAGGCAGTACTTGGCAAAGTATATGTCACAGTAGGGGGAAATGTGTCAGGGTTGTCTGCAGTGTTTAAATGTCCATCTTTGGTTTTATCTCAATCCTGCTGTATTTTAGTGAGCGCTTTGTCCGTAGCGCTTCAGCACGACTTTACCATGAGTTAATACATTTAGAGCACCATTGTCTGGACTGTTTTCAGACCTGAAGCTCTTGAAACGTTTTGTCAGTCATAAACTATTGTCCATACAGGCCTGTTTGGATATAATGTTATCACATTAGATATTTGCAGTGTGACACTTGTGGTTAAATTGACTCGATGGAGTCCAACAAACAAAACAGAAATGACAGACATTGCTGTAGCTGCAGAGCCAGCACTATAAAATATGAAAATGATTTGTTATCTAATGCACAATGTGCAGTATGCAAATACAGCGATTAACTGCCAGTATGGATGCTGGTAAATATACACACCATTATTATTTTAATCCAGCTGTTTCAACCTGATGTTAGCTTAGGGATGTCCTGATCACTTTTTTTTTTGCATCCGATCCCATACAAGTCCTTAATTTTGAAACCGAGTCCGATCCGATACTTTGCAAAGCATTAAGAAAGAAAAAAAAAGAATGCATCCAAGTTGTCCCATAAGGTTTGTTTTTTATTTAAATAGTAACCCAAAACCTTATTGGTGGTTCAGCAGCACAAAATGTAAACAAATTCAACATCTTCTTCTTGTCTTCAACAAACAAAATAGGCCTATATCTTTTGTAGCGGTCTGACATATGAAACAAATATTTTTCTTTTACTCAGTCAAACCCCACAAAGAAACCATAAAACCCATAAAACAGGTCCCTTAACACCAAAATTAAATTGTTTAACTGGTTTCTGTAGAACAAAAGAAATATACTATACTATACTATAAAAAAATACAAATACAACTGTAATCAGTTTCAAGAAAGTATATATTTTTTTCACCAAAGAAAAGAAATGTTTCTTCCCGTTCAGTCAGTTCAATCCAGTTCAAACGAAAAACTCCTCTCCGGGATTTCCAAATAACATATCACAGTTCAATTCAGTTCGATCCACACAGTTCGCTAAACAAAAGAAAACTCCACCCCAGGTTTTTCCCGCAAACAAGGAGATAAAGAAAATCCACTGTTTGCTTGCTCTGACTCAGTTCAGTTTCAAAACAATAAATCAACCCGGCCTGAAGGTTCCAAATAAGGAATAATGAAACAGAAAGTAACCCCCGGCTTTTGCCAACTCACGGGACTGTGTGTGAATGCCGTAACGCTCCGGCGTTGTTTCGGGCGTGGAGGCTCCGTAGCATCCCTTGATATCCGTGGCGGAATCTATTTATTTATTGTGTGACTGTAATCTGCATGTTGATGTGAGACGCCGGTACTTTTTTTTTCATATGCCCAAAATGAATTTCTCTTGAGAGACAATAAAGATCAATCTCCTTAATCTCTGAGGTGAGGCCGGTGGCCGGATGGATGATATTCCATAGGGAAGCGCAGCTATTTCGCAGACTTTGAGTGGTGAAAAATGCCGTGGTAGGCCGAATACGCAGAGGACTTCTCGCTCATTTCTCACTCTCTTGCGACTCTCGTCATACTGCCAGGAGTGGCATAATGTAGGGGCCAGTCTACCTGGGCTCAGGTGATCGAGCCATCCCATTGGCGATAGCACCGGTGGGTGTGTCTGGAGGTAGGCCTACCTCAGTGTCTGGAGGTGAGCAAGCCATCCGCTGACTGTCTTATAATAAATATATATTTATAAAATATACAGGATCGCCACACTTTATACATTGGAAGCGGAGGCAGCAGTGAACAATATAGATGGAAAACCTGGCCATTTTTGTTGTTTTGATTCCTCCGATCTTTTATTACCGATTCCGATTTTGTAAAAATAACGTGATCGGTACCAATACCCGATCTGATCCTCGGATCGGGTATCGTGTGAGTACTGGGATGTTTATATCATGTAAAACTACCCATTTCACACCATCCTCTCTCAGTCAGTCCATGTATCATTCACACATCATAATTTAGGCCAGAATTACTTTCCAGTCACTCATTGGATATTTTATGAATGGTGACCAAAGTATCACTCTTTGACTTGTGGTCTACAGTACTCATATAAGTGCAGTTCAAACAGTCAAAGTTTATCTGTGTGTACCTGGTGCTTTTCATGGAGCTGCCAGCCAGCACAGGAAGTGGCAAAGTGAAATAAGATTGAGTAGTCCAGCAGACATCAGAAGGAAGCAGTGTGACTCATTTCTTACTAGTAATGAGTTACTCATGTTACAACATAGATTGGTCGTTTTTACCATTTCTTACTTGAGCTTTTTCACTTTGATGCCAGGCTCTTTTTGGTGCACATGTACCTACTTAAGATTTCTAAAGGCAAAGCAATGTGAAAGCTCTGTGTAGTGGTAGCATCAGCAGTCAATACAGAATCACATATTTCTGCTTAAGAAGTTCACATCTTCATAATTTTAATAAAATGCCCTTAAACCAAGATTTGAAGTTAGTAAACACGATGCATTGCTAAAGTTCCTCACTATGAAACTGGTGGCATATAAATGTGGTTATGAGTCACGAGGTGGAGACACATGTGCATCATTCACTTCTCCGTGGCCTTGCAGGAATGGCTGGAGGCTGCAGACAGCAGGGCGGAGCTGTTCCGCTACCTGAAGGAGCAGGTGCCCCAGATCTTCTGCCTGAAGCAGGAGTTCAGCCCTCAGGAAGAAGAGGAGCTCCTGCAGAGCCGACTCCTCCACCCTCTGGAGTGCTTCCTCTTTGGAGAGGATCCTCAGGAGGGTCTGGAGAAGCTCAAGCAGGGCAGCAGCTCCTCCCAGCTCTGTGGACGTGTCTTCAAAGAGGGAGAAACCGTATACTCCTGCAGGTCGGACTAATGCCACTGATCTTCTGTAGTAAATAAATTATAACAGCAACAATAACACTTATGTTATGATTAAATGCAAGGTATTTACTTGCTCTTGTACTAAATTTAAGCACTGGATGATTCATGTTGTTGCTGACAGGCATTATATTAAGGTATCAAAGTATTTGCAGCACCAGTAGGATCTGGGATTACTGGATGAGGTGCAGAGCCGCAGAGGTCAAAGGCAGCAATATACGTACATGGAGGCTATTTGTCACCACTAAGTACTACTACACTTCTTAAAAAATTAAGGGAACACTTAATGGTCATAGTATAACACCAAGTCAGTTCTTTTTCAGGGATATCAATCTGTCCATCTTTATATCAGCCCTTGATTTCAGTTTTTTGTTTGATTTCTGTCGTGACTTTGAATCCAGCCCTCAGTGGATTGATTATTTTGGTTTCCACTGACCGTTTGTTTGTCATTTCATTCTCAACAAATTATACAGCGTACATCAGCAAAGATTTTCACCTTGAATAATTCATTCATCGAAATCCGATGTGTGATTTAAGTGTTCCCTTGATTTTTCCGAGCAGTGCAGAAGAAATAATTTGGCCTCAGTAAACTTTAGTTCTGCAGTGGTCTAAACACACAACAACCCCACAGTATTCAGGCTAAGTGTTAAAAATGAATAGTTAATGAGAAGACTCTCAGGTTTCAGTATGTGGCAGTCCGTGAGTGGAATCTGAATGATGTTAAAAAATACAGTAACACTCACATAGATGTGTACATCTGCTTGTCTGTCACCACTAAATGTGCCATGTAAGTTTATGTCAACATGAGTTGTATTTAACAAATTACTGCCACATCCCTGCATAATTAGGTATGATGATGAGCAAATAATGCTGAATAACTTGCCAGCAGCTGGTCATTTTAACATAATGATGAGTAACTTAAAAATAACCCAAGGAATACAAATAATGGGTCTCAGTTTGTAATGTACGCGTGCATGTTACCGTAAAGAAACTCCAGTGTCTTATTGAAAACAAGTGCATGTAACATATGAGACGAAAGTGTGTGTGCTATTGTCTGAAACAAATCCCGTGACACTCTAATCAGACTGAAATTCAGCCAATGACAGTGAATCATTATCAATACAACCAAAGTTCCTGTGCTCATCACCTTTACACTGTAGATGCTAAAGCACTGGTAATGAAGTTTTGTTAATGCAGGACTAGTCTCACATAGCCAGAACATTCTTCACAC